AGTTTCTGTTCCTCTTAGGCTAAATACGTAATGGAAGGAAGAGAACACAGTGATTAAGAAAATCACTTCCCAACTCTGAAATAATGATTACAATCAAATACTCTGTGTTTCTTGAAAGCTGGCATGGAGAATTATTTAAAGTTTCTCTCAGCTACAAGAGGAGAATACTACAAAGTGTGTCACAAAAAGCAAAGCCATTTGGATTTGATACTCACGTAGAAAGTGGGTGCTGATCGACCCCAGTACACACTTAGGAAGTGCCTGACTCAGGAGTCTACCAAACACGGAGGTGGGGCATCCTCTTCCTGAGGTGCCTACAGATCATGGAACCTGTGTATCCTGAGGGACAAGGTCTGCAGTCTGGTTTCCTTAAGATGCAGAGAGTCAGACTCAGGGTGAATTTGCCCTGACTGGATGAGGATTGAGGAGGATTTTCAGTGTGTGTGTGCAGGGGATTGGGGGGTAGGATTGTGGGTGCATGTGTGTGTATGTGGGTGGGTGAATGTGTGTGTGTGAATGTGTGTGTGCGCATGTGTATGTGTGTCAGGGGGTGGGGGGTGAATGTGTGTGTGTGAATGTGTGTGTATGTGGGGGGGCAGTGTCTGAGTGTGTGCAGACGGGTATGCGGAGGGGACTGTGTGGGGATGTGCATGTGTGTTCATGTGGGTGTGTGCACGCAGGGGTGTGCATGTGAAGGTGTGTGTGTGGGGTCAAATACTGAAATACTCAGTTGGGAATTTATATCTAGAATAGACAGAAAATGAGGAACAATCTAATAAAATAGTTCATGATTAAACTAAGTCCCGCCCCCACCCTTCCAAGGTCTGAACTAATCCATCTACTGTAATTCTTGATAGCCTAAGGACCTTCATCTGCAAGTGTTTAGAGAAAACTGTTTTAGATGACACATTGTTTAGCTTTAAAAATAGGGGATAAAAGCATCAAATTAAGGGAAAACCTGTCCATACACACTAGATAGCCAGTGAGGTCTGGTCTCAGTGAAAAAACCATGCCTGAACATGTAAGATAAGGAGAGATAGATAAAGATAGATTTCCAGGCTTTATACAGGCACACATTTGCAAGTGCACCACATGCATGCCTGTATATATCAATAGTTTCCATAGGTTCAACATCACATTAGAGTTCTGTTCAAATGAAGATTCCTAGGTTTCCCACTGGATGGAACCTCTCAGGCTGAGTCCACGAATCAGAATCTACACTGGAGCTCCAGTGACATTTACACGTAAGCTAAGCAACTTAACTCAGTCTTGGCTTGATTATGTCTGAACCGTATGTAAATTAGTACAATGAACAAATGGTCAAGCTAATTGATTAAATCAAAGAAAATGAACAAAGGGAACAAATATCCCAAAAGAATATTTCTCACCTAATTTCTTATGCCAAATAATCACAGTCTGCTGAGAATGGAAACCCAGCCTGAACTAGGATTTCAGTAACCAACAGGGCTGGTCTGGACCCTGTAGAACAATTTTTCTCTACAATGAACAAAACCTGCAGTAATTAAATTCCTTTTTCTGTCTACTGGTACCTACATGGTAGGTATAATCTTTCCACACCTTGCAGGGCATTGCAACAAAACTCTTTTCTTTGAACTCATGTAGTCATAAGAGGCAGAAAGGGGCAACTTGAGGTATTCATTTATTTAGCCAACTTGCAAAAAGCTTGGGATATGGGGAACTAACTTCTTCATACTCAAGTTAGAATATAAAAGAAAAGACTTCTGTCTTTAAAAGGATTTTAGAAGCTGAGCATACCAAAGAGAAATCAAAAGGGTACAATTCCTTAAAAACTTCCCCTCAAAATGTTCAGTTAGCATTTTAAGAATGAATAATGAATTCATCATTTCATCCAAAATAATGAATCTATCCACAATACCTCTTCCATGACATCCCCCCCCCCAAACCTTCACTTAAATAGCTCAGAAGGAAATGATGACTGGAACTTGGAGTGGAGATACCATCAGACTCATGTAGGGATGCAGATTTTTTTTTATGGCAAGAGAACACATGAAGAGTAGGAAGACCTTCTTCCCAACTCAGGATGTAATGTTTGGAGAACAAGGGCAATAGCAAGAGCAATAATATAATTTTAGACTTTATTTCAAATCATACCAAATAAGTTGTTTATTGGTCTGCTTTTAAAGTACATTTTTACATCTATATGTGTATGTATGCCACATGTGTACAAGTGCCCCTGAAGACTTGAATCCCCTGGATCTAGTGTTATAGGCAGTTATGAGCTATCTGACTTGTGTGCTGGGAACTGAACTCTGATCTTTTGGAAGAGCTGTAAGTGCTCTTAATCCCTGAGCATCTTTCCAGTCTGTGCTGGCCTACTTGTCATGATATAAAGGAGAGTCGTAAGTTGTGCCTGTATGAACCACAGTCTAGTGTTTACCTATGTCTACCCAGGGCAAGTTCTGTAGGGTAGGACACTGAGTGATGACACTTCACCCTACAGGAAAGTGCTTTGTGGACAGTTTAGTCTTCCTACAGCCTCTGGAAGGAAACACCCATACAGAGTTGGTGCTAAAGTAGCATGAGACCTCTCATTTTACATTTGAGGACAGCAAAACCCAGAGGTAAAATATTTTAGCAAGGTCTAGCTATAGTCAACAGAGCAAAGGTTTGGAAGGAAGCCAGAGAGTCTACAAATTAGCTGTGAACAAGTATGAATGAAGACTTGCTTCCCTGTTCTCCATCTTCCCAAGACAGGTCAGTATGTGGATACTCATCCCAAGAATGTGCCTCTGAGGTGGACACACAGGGAAGAGGGCAGTTGGGGAGAATACCCTTGGCTGTGGATGTACATTAAACTATGTCATAAAGCCATTTAAGATCCCATCTGCTCTTTAGGCTCACAGCTCACTTCCAGCTCCCAGGCAACACACTCACCAACTGTGAACCAGGAGGGTGTCATCCTGTTCTTTCTTGAATGTTGAACATGTATGTGTAGGACCTGATATTTATTTTGAGATAAATTTTATCTTAATAAAAGAAAAAGAGACAAGTTATGGTGACAGAAGGATCAGGAGTTCAAGGTCACCTCCAGCAACATAGAAAACTTGAGGCTAGCCTTGGCTACATGAGACCTGTGTCAAAACAAAATGGACAGTAAATCCCCTGAATGACTATTAATTGCAGGCCCTGTACTGTTTTTGTTATATCCTTCACTGATCTGCAAAACATCCTAGGGGAATTATCCTGTGTAGTCAAGAGGAAATGAGACATGGAGAGTAAAGGTAGTCTGTCTAAGGTCCCATCAATCCTAAACCCCATGCCCTTAGTCAGCTGCAGAGATGACCAGCATGCCAGCGCACCTTCTAGAACCAAGCAGAAAGTCCACAGTCCAAATTCTGCAGAGTAGTAATCCCTAGCACAAGACACGTGTATGCTAGGAAGAGTTCAAATACCCTTGCTGAGAAGTCTTTCTTCTGAAAATTAAGAGAAAACACCTCCTCACAAACACCAACACACACACAGAGTCAATATAGGAAAGGACTCAATGGACTTCAAGACTGAGCTGGAACTAGAGCTGAGAACACAGTTCAATACTTTCCACCAGATTCCCACCATAACCACTGGCCTCTGACCCTGCCCAGTGGTGAGCAGGGTCCAGAAATCTTAACAACACGTTTTAAAAAAATGACCCAGAGGAGTGCCACCTATAATGTGCTGGCAGAGCAGTTACAGGGGCAGCTACTAGGAGTGATTGTGAGCAACACTAGTATTATTAAGCAACAGAAATAAGCGAATTGCCAAGATCTGGGATATCTGAACAGAGCAGTCTTGAAACCCTGGGATGTCCTGATACCAATACTTTCAAGGTGCCTCACAATTACCTCAGAACTCCTTCTCCTCAGTGAAACTCTGCATGAGGGCCCCAGATTTCTCATGCCTCTCTTGGGCAGAGACAATAGGAGAGCCTCTACATATGGAGAAGCACAGCAGCAAACACTGTCTTGAGAAAGAAGTTCCAATTTACATTTATCCTCCAAAGAAGCAGAAATATGGGACTCAACACAGGAGACTAATTTCTGTGGTTTTTGAGGTTCGTCTCTTTTTAGAGCGTCCTGTGGAGGGCAACGTACCTTCTCCTTTCAGTGTGCTCTTTACAGAATTCACTCTTTGAGGCTGTTAGTATCAAAGGAACTAAGAGAAATGAACAAATGATGTAAAAAATGAAAGAAAGAAGAAAAAGGACTCCAAGTACCTGTAAGCACTTGCTAGAGCATGAGCTTGCTTTCTTCTCCCCTGGTAACCGAGATTCCTGGAAGGTTGGAGGAGGGACTCACAGACCCCCACCACTGTTCCACGGAGCTACCAATAGTTGATGACTTCTGGGTCAGGGAGAGGCAGCTTAAGGGTGTGGCCCCTGCTAGATGCACCATGCTTCAGTGGATAGCCCCAATACATGTGTGTAATTAGGCAGCACAAACTGTACTTTGTGGACTATTTAAAAAAAAAAAAGGAAGATTTAAAGTTGGGAAGGGGGAGTGCCATGGTGGGGAAGGAGTGGGAGTGAATGTGATCCAAATAGATTTTATACATATATGAAATTCCCAAAGAGTTCATAAAATATGTGTAGAAAAAAGTCCAACTTAAAGGTGGGGAAAGACAGAGTAAATGAAAAACCTGTCTGTGAACAGGGTCAGGGGAGAGGCCAGAAAGAGAAGGGAAGTGAAAGATTTAATATTTGCATCAGGTGAAAAATAGTCCCCAAACTGACCTAGTGCCCATAGCTGACCTTGAACTCCTTGGGACAGACGACCTCCCGGAGGAGGAAGGAATGGCTTAAGGCAGAACCAGGCTCAGGGCAGACCATTGTTAACTGTACACAAACGAGCTGGAAGGAATGAAGACTGCTGGACTGGAATCACTGCCCTGGAGGGCTTCTTGCTGGCAGGTCACCTTACCCAGGTTTTCTTAAAACAGCCATGCCCCTGCCACCCCATATGATTCAGCCTCTCCAAACTCACCAGAGTCAGGTCTTAACTGAGCAGATCTTTCTTTAGAGCTGTCTTGGCCACGGGTGGTAACAGGAGCTTCCCTTAGTCCTGTGTCCCCAGCAGCCTTCAGCTGTCACAGCCAGCAGGAGCTCACCTCCGCGGGTCTTTCTTCCTGCGGAGCTAGCTGTAAAGTCATAGAAACTTTCTCCACCAGAAAGGCAAGTGCTCCAAAGTATCCAGGAGCAGGTTCCCAGGGAACCCAAGGTGGAGCCGGCTAATTGCGACTGTCCCCAGGCCCACCCTACAGATGCACAGCTTCTCAGAAAGGGAGGAGCATGCGCCTTTCTCAGAGTTGGGCCAAACCCACAGGTGACAGGGCTGGGCTAGGAGGCTTCTGGTGGGATCCGCCTCCACCTGCCTGCCCCGCCCAGGCTGTCGCTGACCCAGCTGGCTCCAGTCCGGCCAGCTTCCTACTGCCCTTTCTCCAGCAGTGAACTTCCTGCCTCTGACCAGGGCCAGTCCTTCCAGGACTCTGTCGCTGAAACCCAAGGAGGTCAGGTGCCAGAGCACCAAGGACTTTGGTAAGGGCTAGCGGTTTCTCAGAGAGAGCCTCCTGTGAGTATGAAGTGCTGGTTTATACTGTTAAGACTGCTAAAGGTACTAGGGAAAAGCTCGGTCACTAAAATGCTGACCTCACAAATCAGTAAAAATGTATAGCTTGGAGGCCTGTGCATTTATAATGCCAATTCTGGGGAGGTGCAGACAGGCCAATTCCTGGGGTCTGCAGCTTGACAGAATCCCTGGACTCTAGGCTATGAGCCACCTTGCCTCAAAAAATCACCTGAGAGTGTTGTATAGCTTACACACACACACACACACACACACACACACACACACACACACACACACACACACACACACACACGGACAGCGAGGCAGAGAAGGACAAATTCATTCTCCTAGCATCCCTCTGAGCCTTGGCTATGAGAGTGGTCACTTTGAGTAAACTGAGTGTGTTGGAAAAATGGGAGGGGCCTCTGCTGTTCTCTGGTCACCCAGTTGCTTAACCCTTCAAACCATGATGTCTCTGGATTAAGAGACCGTTGCAAATAGGCAGACAGAGATTTTAGCCCCTGTTTTATCAATAATGCTGGTTCTCAGGTGCTCAGGACACCCAGGAGGGCTGATTCCACGGTTGTAGATCTCCTAGGAAAGGCCTTCCTCTCCCTGTCTCAGGCCTTGCATTCTCCGTCCCTTACTAGTTTCCTATTCTGGATCCAGCTGGAGCCCCCCTCTCCCTCCTAGACAATGCTGCCCCACACTCCATCCACAGAGTTTCTTCCTTTGAGTCATGGCAATTACTACAGCTTACTGTCACTGCCCTTCCTTGGCCTCCTCTGCCACACTGTGGCCCTGTAAAAGATGGAATATGGAGCTCACAATAGATAGCTAAAACCTTGCTGAAGGAAGCCAAGCATGTAACTGTGTAACCTCTACCAAGGGCCCCAGCCTCTTCTCCCCAAAACCTTGATAACCTTCCACCATTAGTTCTGATCTCTAAGTGTGCATCAAAGTTAGGGATTCCACGTGCGCCTCATCCCTGAGACTCTCTTCCACCTTCTGGGCAGAACCCTCAACTCTAGTTTTAACAGAGGTCCCAGCATGTGGGAACAGTTTGGGACTTGGTTGCTGTCATAAAAGATCTGACGTAGTAACTTAATGTTTTACACAACACCCTACTCCGGGTCTTACTCCATTAGGCCATGATGTTTTCAGAACCAAGAAGAATAGAGGCCAGTGAGCACTCAGGAGGCAGACACAGGTGGATCTTTATGAGTTTGGGGCCAGCCTGGTCTACAGAGCTAGTTCCAGGACAGCTAAGGCTAAGGCTACATATAGAAACCTTGTCTTAAAAAGCCAAATATATATATATTTGTTCTTTCCCTCTTCATTTGAAACAAGATCTCCTTCAGTAGCATAGTCTGGCCTCAAACTCAGGTCGCTCCTATCTGTATTTCCCAAGCAACGAGATTACAGGCTTCACCACCACCAAGCCCAGCCTGTTTAGCAGTCTTTATACTAATGTAGCAGTGACAGTATTGGATTTATCTGAACCCTGTGACCCTGATAGACAGCAGCAGCAAAAGGTAAAGAAACCTGTCTAACTGTCTTCCAGTGAGAGCTTGAAGGAAGCCCCTTCCCCAAAGGCTTGAGGAAACATTCCTGAGGCCATTCTTGTTCGTCCATGAACAGGCTGGACAAACCACCATTCCTCCTGTCAGAAACGATTAACTGGACATTTGTATCGACTGAGCAGTTTTGAATAGATTTTACTACTTTCGTTTGACCATATTGTAGCCTTCTCTCTTTCTGTGTTCTTGAGCTTTGACCACACTCAGTGCAGACCATCACACAGTGTTCCCAGCCCCTCTGGAAACAGACCTCTCTTTTGCCTCTTCTCCACATCCTACTGTCTCTCAAATTGCTTACCCGTCCCTAGACCTTTCTAGTGTAACATTTGAGAGGCTGGTGGATTTCAGGGTCAAATTTTTCTCAGTAGTTAGCAACCAACAGAACAAGCTGTCTAATTTAGTAGGCACATAGTTCATCTACGACAACCTGTATTGTTAGTAGACTCAAAGCAGTTCCCGTGTCTGATTTGTGGGAGGAGAGCTCCTTCCCTGTCCCTTTGTGAAAGCCTCACGTGTGAGTAGAATTGTTTTAGCATGCTCTGGGCTGTATGCTAGTCTCTGCTCATGACACAGTTGCTTCTGCGTTCCTAGCCATAGCATGGCATCCTCTTCTCTTTTCTCCTGTTTCTGGTTCCATGTTCAAAATACTATCACTGAAACACAACCCTGTGAATTCTGAACCACAACCCACGTGGTAAACAATGTTATTTCTCTCATATTTATTTGTATATGTTTGTTCACATGTGAGCACATGCACACATATGTAGATGTCAAAGGATGACTTTTAGGAGACAGTTCTTTCCATATACTTACTCTATGGGTCCCGAAGACTGAAATCAGGTGGTCAGGATTGACTACAGGCATCTTTACCTGCTGAGCCATTTCACTGGCCCTAGTACAAATTGATTTTTCTAAGAATCAATCAGTGCATTAAAAGAAATACACAGACAAGGAAGTAGAGAAAATATATTCCAAATTATGCCAAACAGAAATAGCCATCTTTACCTGCACATTTTGTAACATTTCTGGATTCTCTCTTTGCAAAAATAAAAAAATCTTTCCACATGATTGTAGTTTTATATAGGTGTCATTGATATTCTTCCCATCGAAAGATGATGAGAAGGTTACTATGCACCTGGGTCATCTTTGTCATCTGAATCCTTTGTGACTACTAAACTAATAGATTGTAGTATGATTGCTTTCTACTTGCTGGATATTTGCTTCCAGCTTTTAGATAAAATATGCTGTGTTGGATATTTTCTTAGAAGAGATTTCAGCAGCAGAATTGCTAAGTCAAGATAATCACCATTTGATGTGGCTCTGTCTCCCTATTCATCTTTCTTGCTGTGTTTGTGAAATTCTCTTCTTCTCAGTCTAGGAACTGAGATGTTTCATGATATGATATGATATGATATGATATGGTATGATATATGATGATCCCCCAATAAGGGATTTTCTCAGCCCTCTAACTCCTTCCTCAATGATAAATTTTTTAGTTATTATTTGAAAACATATTATTATATGTGTATGTTTGTTTCACCTGCATCTGTGTGCCTCATTTGTGTGCAATGCTTGTGGAGACCAGAAGAGGGCATCACATCTTCTGGGGTTGGAGTTACAGACTTTAGTGAGCTGCCATATGGGTGCTTGGAACTTAACCTAGGTTCTCTGAAAGAATAACAAGTGCATTTAAATGCTGGAACATCTCTCTAACTCCAATAATTTATTGTTTTAAAGTTGAAATTGAATGCCAGAGAACATTTATGCTACCTTCAATATGTTCAAGTTTGTGTCTATCTTTATTTTGAGAGAGTGTCTCAAGCACACAGTACTCTTTACCTCTTCAGTTGTCAGGGTACCGTGTGTGTGCCTCCAGGCATGGGTCTAAACACAGTTATATTCTTTAAGAAGTATCTTGAGTTACAAAGATACCCCCCTTCCCTCCCACTCTATCAATGAGGTTAGCAAGATCATAATGCTTTATTTTATAATCCCTTCATAGCAAAACTACTGGATGCAGAAAAGTAAGTACAAAGATAAGTATTTCAGAGAAGCCTAAATGTGTTGCTTTGATGGTAAGATACTATCAAGTAGAGCTCTTGTCTTTAAGCTCTGAAAGAGTTTTGCACAATTAAATATATCTGAATAAGAGGTGATTTATTTCTGGTGTATTATGATATAGAAGAGCCTGGAAATATTGCCCAAGGAAGTAATTCTGGCCAATTTTTGAAAAAAAGTATATAACATGATGGCTTAGTATGTGTCCAAAGACTCCTTGACTCTCTTTCATGGGAGTCTGAACCCCTTTGAGTGTGGAATATACTTACTTGTTTCATTTTCTCTAAGATTATTTTTTAACTTTTAGTGTGTATGTGCGTGTGTGTGTGCGTGCGTGCATGCGTGTGTGTGTGTGTGTGTGTGTGTGTGTGTGTGTGTGTGTGTGTTCAGGTACCTGTGGAAACCACAGGGAATGAATTCCCTCTGGACTTTAAGTTATAGGCAGATGTAAGCCACAATGCTGGGACTGGAATCTGGATCTCTTCAAGCTACTCACCTCTGAGTGAGCTCTTCCACCCTCCTATGTAATTTAATTCATTACAGGAAACAACTCTAGAAGGTAAATAAACCAACCCTAGTGTGTTTGTAGGCTGAAGTGGTGCCTAGCAATAAACAGGAACAGGTTACTGATACCTGCGGGAACTTGCCTGGACTTCATATGCCCTTCGTAATGAAAGTAGTTAGAACTAAGAGGCTACATACCATCATCTGATTCCATTTCTGTGTTATTATGAGAAAACAAGACTGAAGTGATACAGATCAGGTTAGTGGTTGGCATAGATATGGATGGCTTGACTGGGTGGTAGGACTCCTATATTTTTAATGTGTTTCTAATTACATGTTTATCTGTCACCATTTCACATGGAAATACAAAAGAGACAGATTTCACTGTGTGTGCAGTTTGAAGATTACATAGAAACTGAAGTAACTTCCATTTAACTGTGTAGAGCTAAACAGGGATAATAGACTACATTTCTTACCATGAAATATCAACTCACCAAAAGAACATCAAGCACACTAGTGCTAACTGAGGCAAAGGC